CATTTCTGATGAAGGGTCTAGGCCCGAAACGTCAGCCTCTCTGCTCCTATGATGCTGCTTAGCCTGCTGTGTTCATCCAGCTCTGCACCTTGTTGTCTCGGATTCTCCAGCATCTGCAGTTCCTACTATCTTTAATTGCAGGCAAGTTGTGTTTTTTAAACAGGCAATTAATGCCGAATGTAACAAGGAACAAGGAAGCTGCTCCTGATAAGAAGGTAAAGTGGTGGACCAGTGACTGCAACAGTGTATTCAATGACGTGGATGAATTGATCTAAAGGATCATCAATAACGTCACATCCAAAACTTCACTTGAGAGAAAATCCAGTAAGAATTCAACCTCAGGATTCTTCAGTAGCAGAACTTTGAAGAACCCCACTGCACAAAGATGGAACTCTGGGCACATCCAGAGACAGACGCGGCTGGTTGGAACTGAAGCTAAATTCCACCATTAATCAGGTAACGGGCAATTTGAGTTGTGAGGCTTAACTTGAGGGGTCTTGTTGTGACCGATACATAAGTTTGGGCAATTGTTTCAGTATTGGATTGTATGTGAGATTCCTTAATAAGTAACTGAATTGAGCATAGTTCATGGTGATTTACATACAACAGCACGGGTTGAGGTGGAAGGTAATGGGGAGACACATCAAAACAGTAGGCAGAACAGCACTGGAGGATATGGCAGGCTGCTAAGCCTAGGGGAGGTGGGAAGGGGTTTTATAGACAATGACCATCACCATGGTTCCCACAGCAGGGAATGACGACAGTCAGGATGGGGGTTATTAAGGTGCAAGACTAGCCTTCAGGTGGCAGCAAGGTGAAGGTCAGCGGGTGAGTCTCCACATGGTGAGAGGGTGAGTGGAAATGTGCTGCCAGCTTAGATCAAGGTCAAAGGGGGCATGGAGGGAATTGTTGATGGTGGCTAAGTGGTTAAAAAGAGGCATATGGGCTCCAGTGCACAGAAACAAGGAAGTTATAGTGGCCTATTATAAAACACTGGGTCAGCCTCAACTGGAGTACCGTGTCCAGTTCTGGGCACCGCACTCCAGGAAGAATGTGAAGGCTTGAGAGATTCATAGAATCCCTACAGTGTGAGAGCAGGCCATTCAGCCCACACTGACCCTCCAAAGAGTGTCCCACCCAGACCCACCCCCCACTGCCTTTCCCTGTAACCCTGCATTTGCATGGCTAACCCCCTAGCCTGCACATCCCTGGACACTGTGGGCAATTCGTCATGGCCAATGCACCCTAACCTGCACATCTTTGGACTGTGGGAGGAAACCGGAGCACCCGGAGGAAACCCACGCAGACACAGGGAGAATGTGCAAACTCCGCACAGACAGTTGCTCGAGGGTGGAATCAAACCCGGGTCCCTGGCGCTGTGAGGCAGCAGTGCTAACCACTGTGCCACCTTACCACCCCGAGCATATTCAATGGGCCCTTGTTGAGACAGATTTCTTAAAGCTCATTTACAACACTAACTGTCATAAAATCTCAGACTTACACATAGTTAGGGCTCTGTGTTTACTGACTACATACAGCAAAAATGCAGTAATGATCAGCAGGCTATTGCTATGGTTACCACTGAAGATGAGCCAAATACCTTTAAAACGGAATGTCTCATGTTGTGGTGCCATTTAATTGTTTTAAGCTTAACTTCATCATTAAATCCTCCTAATAGCCAACTAATACATTTCCCCTGAATACATATCATTCCATAATGTCAATTCCCCTATCTTCCGACAATGCAACCCATGGATTCTGAGGCCAGTGGGTGCTGGTATCACTGCAGGCTCTGCCTTACAATCATTCAGGGTTGGCATTAATACTCTTCCTCAAAGGTCATTCTGCATCTTGCCACTCTCATCAGCCACAGTTCACCAACCTCCCATTCCTCTTTAAACACTCAAAGGGGCCATTGACACCCATTGTTATGCTCCCCACTCTTGTGGCTCCAAATCGAATTGTTACCATCCCTATTGCTCATTATTAACGTAAACGGTGGGGAACAGTGCACCTGCGGGAGCTAATTCTAACAAGATGTAGAGAGACGAAAACGTAACTTTAGTGATTGACTTTGTCTCTAGATTATTATTCACTTTACATTGACAAATAGGGTAGCACGGTGACTCAGTGGTTAGCGCTGCTGCCTCTGAGAGCTAGGGACCTGGGTTCGAACCCACCCTCGGGTGACTGTCTGTGTGGAGTTTGCACATTCTCCCCATGTCTGCATGGGTTTCCTCCAGGTGTTCCGGTTTCCTCCCACTGTCCAAAGATGTGCAGGTTTGGTGGATTGACCATGCTAAATTGCCCATAGAGTTCAGGGATGTGCAGGCTAGATGAATTAGCCATGGGAAATGCAGAGACACTGCGATAGGATAGGGGGCTGGGGCTGGGTTGAATGCTCATTGGAGGGTTAGTGTGGACTACATCGGCCGAATGGCCTGCTTCCACTCTGTGGGGATTCTATGAACTATGGAGAAAGCAATTCATTACACAAACGAACCATGACAATGCAGAATACTCTATCAAGTAATAAACCAGATTTGGGATTAAATGAAGGCTTTGCTGAGTAAACAGATTACCAGACTCAGGGATATATGAAATGCATTGGTCTGACCTCAAAATAGGGTGTGAAAACAAAATGTGCCTTTTAAATTTTATTATCAAAGGACTTTGGACAACCTGTGACTGATCTGCAGTTAACATTTGAGTTGCAATTGAAAAACTGTTCTCGTAAAACAAATGACTTTATTCCCCAACAACAGAAACAGGCTGAGCAATAACTGTTCAAACTGTTCAGTTCACTGCATTTCTTACACTGATAGCTCTGCTTCCAACCGTTTATGAGAGACAAATTAGGTGAAGTGAATAGGTTGATATAAAATAAAAAGCACATTTATAATTGGGCTAGAAATGTAGTCCATTCAAGACTCGAGGGGGAGACAGATCAAGCCTTTTCAATATCGCCTGGAAATATCTTTCCTTTCTGTTAGTTTAGTATAGGCAGTAAAATATCTCAAATGTCAGATTTTTATGCTCAATATATTTTTGGCTCATTCAGGTTTAATGCTCAGTCCCAATAGCAGGCCTCACTTCAGCTATGACACAGATTCAATCCATTTCTACTGAGTATTTAGGGAACTGGCGGGTACAGATGTGTTGGAGTAAAGAGCTTCACACCAAAAGCACACACTGATGTCTGATTTTGTTCTCTTCCGTGATGCAATGGAGCAAACCTCAGAGAATTACAGCCAAAACAGGCCATTTGGGCACATAGATCCAAATCTCCTGCTACCCCCTACCCTACTTAGCCTAAACCTATCTATACGTGCTTCTGTTCATTGCTCCTTTATCTAACGTGCCCAAAATCCATACTGTAAGTTGCTCATACAGTTGTGAATGGTACATTTTCAGTGTATCTGGCTAAGTATTTTCTCTGGGAGCCTGTGTTGGATTTGATAGTGTTGTGAGAATGAACTGGCCTCTCAACCTTCATGGAGGTGAATGAACAGACATCGGTGAATCAGTTCAAGTATGTTTCTTCCACCTCTGCAATTTGGAAAAGAATGAAAAAACAACTTACTTTCTTTCTGAAAAGTGGCATCCACTTTAACCTAGAGAAGAAATCAGATGGGATACCTCTGATATCCAACAAAGCCATAGATCCCAGACACTGCAACTGTGTTGTTATTTACCTTGACGCAATTGGAATGGACTAAGTAAATCATGGATTGGTCAGCTTCCAACTGTTGGCTAACAACTGCTCAATTGTCACTTCATTCCTCCAACATATTTGATAACAATTACCCTTTGTCCCCTTAATAAAAACCGAAGGAACTGCGGATGCTGTAAATCAGGAACAAAAATAGAAGTTGCTGGAAAAGCTCAGCAGGTCCAGCAGCATCTGTGAAGGAAAAAACAGAGTTAACGTTTCGGGTCCGGTGACCCTTCCTCTATAAACTGACGTTTTCCCAGCCGCCATCAGCTCTGAGGAAGGGTCACCGGACCCGAAGCATTAACTCTGCTTTTACCTTCATAGATGCTGCTGGACCTGCTCAGTTTTTCCAGCAACTTCTGTTTTTGTCTCTTTGCTCCCTTGTTGGGCTGGGTAGAGGTCTAAAGGATAATTCAAGAAGAGCCCCCATGATCAAAGGACTTCAAGACTCTGGCCTAGATATTCAACAGAGCGGCCAGGTAACTGCTGGTAAAGGAAGGGTTTCCCTCGGTCCCCAGCAAGTGGCCAGACCTGATTATCATTTTGAAACCCATATCATAGCCTCCAGCACCAGTCGGCAAGAGGCAAAGAGGAATCATGGATTGGGAAAGATATCAATGACACCAAAAGATATCTCTGACCCCAGAGACATTTGGGGTCAAGGGGCATATCAAATAAAGATTATGAGGTGGAGATATCCGGGAAGGGTATCCAATCATGCAGAAGGGGCTATTTGAAGCATGGGGGTTGGATCCAATATCGAGATGTTAATTTATGGAGGGCTGGGTTAGGGGAACACTGTTGTTTCTCTTGGCCTACAAGCAGTGGTAGAAAAACAGTTTACCTCTGAGCAGACTAGCAAGCCCAACCTCCACTGAACTGTTGGGCTTCCCAAACTCCAGGGAACCCAGTCAGCCACTTTTAAGGACATGAGAGACAAAACCTGGAGCATTCAGCCTCACTAAAATATTTAAGCAAATAATCTGACTCTCGAGAGCCAGTTGGCTTCTAACTTCACCAAGACTGCTTGGCAACTGCTAGAATTGGAAGGAGGTAGACAGGGAGAGGGACAAAAACAGAAATTGCTGGAAAAGCTCAGCAGAACTGGAAGCATTTGTGGACATGTGTCGATGCAGGGGAAGATGCTATGGGGCTGGGGCTGTTGGGTGAGTGAGTTTGGTTCAAATTGGAGATTTCTTCAAAACATTTTTTTAAGTCTCACCTGAAACAAAAAAAAATCACCCAGCCAATCTTCCCAGCATGATTCATTTCATGAAGCACTTACTTGAATGTTTTGTTCATTGATTTTCTCATGCCATAGGCCATGGTTGCTTGAAAGTAGAATTGTTCGTTTTCATCCCATTCATACTGTTGGTGAACAAGACTTAAAATCAGTCCCAACACTCAAACCTTTTCTCTTCACATCTCACTTCTCTGAAACAAGGCAGCAGGCAGCAATGTTAGACCTGGCTTCAACAGCAACCCCCTGGAGGCCAACACTGCCTCATCCATACTCGGAAGTTAACCAATAGATTCGTCTCCGCAGCCAGTGGATTACCAAAGGTATAAAGCTGTTACTGCGAATATTTCCATGAAACATACTGGTATACAGCGATGAAACATATCTCTATTTGTGCTGTTTCTTTGGATTAGTGTGAATGATTTTAAACAGTACAACTATCAGCACAATTTTAAATATACCATTAATGCCCTCAGTTTGCAGCCTGGAGGACAAATCTACTCGCCTCCAGTCTGAAAAGACAAATATAGTTGGATATGTGATCATTGCACATAGCCTGAGGAGGAGGGGATGGCCTAGTGGTATTATCACTGGACTATTAACCCAGGGGCCCAGGTAATGTTCTGGGGACCTGGGCTCAAATCCTACCATAGCAGATGGTGGGATTTGTATTCAACAAAATATCTGGAATTAAGAATGTAATGATGATCGTGAATCCATTGCCAGTTCAAATAAATAGGGAGAAACTATTTCTGTTGGGCAGAACCCCTGTAAATTGAGGGCACAGATAGAAAGGAATTGACTTGTATGTGTAGAGTCTTGTACTGATCTGAAATGTGCTTCCTTCAGTACATAATTTGATGGTCAGTATTAGACAGGATCTTCAATTGCACAGTGTTAATTATAATACATGGGTGGAACAGAATTTGGAGTTACCAGGAGGCTGTAAAACTTCAAGTTTTTCTGCCATCACTTTCGACAGCTCTATTGGTTTGCATCTACTCATCTCCCTCCCCTTATTAGTCTGAAGGATAAAGTCAGCATTATCTCAGAGGACCACGGGGCTGTTCTCTCGTTAGAGAGAGAGAGACGACTGGGGGATGGAGAGTCACCATGCTTCAAGCGATGGGCAAGGTTGAGAAGACAGGCCCTTCACAGCAAGCTCAGGCTGGTACTGACGGTGCCAGTCTGCATCGCAAAGCAGCCAACTGGTATGCAGCACCCATGTCTGTCACTATCACATCCCACACAGGCTGGATGCTCCTGGGTGATCACCAGCTCACATCCAGGGGGACCAGCTCAGGAGAAAGTATCCAGTGTTGCCTGAACCTAAGCACAGGGCGGATGGGCACAACATTTCTTGTTACAAGTGGGTACTGCAGGGGCATTTAATTTCCTGGCCCTAGCCTTCTGCTCGGAAAGCAGCTGACACCGCTTGGGTGTTCCCTAGAGGTTCCACCTGCATGACCATCCTTAAAATAGCTTCAAGATCCAGACTGCATTAAAATTGGGTTAGGGATTCCCTTATCAATCCAGCTCACCAAAACACAAAGTTATCACAAGAGTACATCTAAATACTTCTGACACGTTATGAGGGCCTGTTTGCTGTGATGTAGACCCCTAGGACTCTATGCTGAAGTGTCCCAGTCATAGTCATCTAGTGTTAACATATTCCTGCTTGTTCCCCCTAGATCCATGTCACATTAGACAGGCCCATTGAAGCAAATCATCAACTGAACTGTGTAGCGAGCTGATTCCAACGGGTCAGCTTTGGAGAATAATTGCTTTTCATTTGTTGCAGTGGGAACATTGGGAGAGTAAAGGCAGCTGAGTAGAGAGGCAACATGTTTCAAAGATCTGCCTTCATCATCCGGGTTTTTGTCATAAATGTTAAAGGAAAAATAAAACAAAAAAACTTCACTTCCAGTCTAAACGCTCATCCTCGTTCCCCAAACTCACTCTCCTTGCCCCACTGATACCACTGCACGTCTCTACCCATTCCCCATAGCCCTCAAATACACAATCCCAGTCTTCCTTCATAAACAGTACTTTTCCGCCCCGAAAAATTTAAAGGTCAGGAGATTTAGATGTCTTTTTGGCTTGACAGTTCCCTTGGCAGCTTCAGTGAGTTTATTCACATTCATACTTTTAATGATCGCAAAGGTTATCTGACTCCGTCCAAAGGATACCTTACCTCTCCCAAAGGACTAGACCTCTCCAAAAGGGTCACTTCCCTCCCCAAAGAACACTGGTGGCTTTACAGGCCTTCGCCTGAGAATAGTAGAACCCGTAAGTTTTATATTGAATATCTCATCTGCAAAAATTGGATTGGTTTGGGGGAAGCTGCGCTTTAATATGTCCACATTTGGTTGGGGTGGGGGTTGGGAAAGTGTGGTGAGGGTGGAGGAACATGAAAATCAAGCCTGAGACATCATTTTAGCCAATGAAGAGATGCTCTCCTTCACTGGAGAAATTCAGACTCATGTATCATGAAGCTACTGAGCACCATTTGAGTTTACCCAGATCTAAGAGCTATTTACAGGTACTTCCCAATGGTAACTAAGACCAGGAATGTTGGCTGATTTGTCACTTCCTCTATTACACACGAATCCGTTTTCCTATATAAATCTATTTTGCTGCCTATCTATATCAGAACCACATGCATTGTTTGAGTATCAATAGCAAGAAAATCAATAGCAAGATCCATAATTGTTTAATTATGTCCTTAAACTGGGAGTACTGAAACAATTACAAAACTAATGGCATGAATATATTCCTTCATTCCCACTGAGAAAGCCATAGTTTGAAGAGAGATTGGAAAATTTCAAGACTGTTCCCCTTCAAACAGTGATGTTTAGGATGTGATCTACAAAGGTTTTCAAAGAAGGGTCCAGACCCGAAACGTCAGCTTTCCTGCTTCTCTGATGCTGCTTGGCCTGCTGTGTTCATCCAGCTCTACATCGTGTTATCTCAGACTCCAGCATCGGCAGTTCCTACTATCTCCAAAGAAAGGTGAAGTTTTGTTGGTTTGGAAGTGGAAAAGTATGGGTCAATGACTTGAAGTTCAAAATCATTGGAAAAGTACTTGAAATAGAGATGAAGAGGATTCTATATTTAACTTTAAAAAGGGAGTTGGTCAAATGTTTGAGAATCAGAATAGAAATGTGGGTTGGGGTGTTTGGGTGGGTCATTGCTCATCAAAATCCTAGCACAGGTGGGATGGGCCAAGTCGCCTCCTTCTGTGTCTCTATAACATGGCAATAATGGAAAATTGTTGAGATTGAATTTTAAACCAGCTGATGGGAGTAGGGGTATGAACAATGAACAATTCCATAATCCTTAAATAAGGGGAACCCCTCAACGTCGGCTATGATGTTTCCAATCAATTCAACAGTTTGTTTTTTGCAAGGAGAAAGATTCACAACTCCACAGTACTTTATGTGAAGTGCCCCTTAACAACAATCTTGTACTGCCTAAAGACTATATTTTTATTTTTTGCTTTCTTTTCATCTCTGGCAAGGTAAAAAGACTGCCACAGCAACAATTGCTTTTCCAGTCTTTTCCTCCACGTGTAATACCTATTTTTTTTCTCCTGTCTGTGCTTGTCTGTTTGTGCGTTTAGAGGGAGAGTTTATAAAGGGGTTAGAACTTTAACCAATAGAGTTATATGTTGACAGTTCATAAAAGTTAACCTGCATAGAATCCTGACAGTGTGGAAACAGGCCATTCAGCCCATACTGACCCTCCGAAGAACATTCCACTCATCCTATCCCTGCATTTCCCATGGCTAATCCACCTAGCCTGCACACGATGAGAAATTTAGCATGGTCAATCCAATCCAACTTGCGCATCTTTGGACTGTGAGAGGAAACCAGAGCACTTGGAGGAAACCCACACAGACAGTCGCCCGAGGGTGGAATTGAACCCAGGTTCCTGGTGCTGTGAGGCAGCAGTGCTAACCACTGAGCCCCCATGTAATATGGGTAATATTCATAATAAAAAGTCATTCCTGTTCAGTATGGAAACCTGCTCAAGCTTTCCATCAATCAGGTAAATTAAGACAAAGACAGGGGAATACAGCAGACCTTTTAAATTCTTTTAACTTTTGTCATGTCTCAAGGAATAGAAGGGCTTGAATTCCAGCTTGTTGCCTCAGTGGGGTTTAACGGTTAATTTTAAGGTTGTGCCCCCTTGTTCTGAACACTGCCAAGAGCGGAAATAGTTTATCCGATCAAAACATTTAATCGTCTTAACCAGCAATTAAGGTGAACTTACTGCCTCGTCTCCAAGGGCTGCATTCAGGCTGATTCGCACTTTGTGAGCATAAGGAGATTCTGTAATTAATATGACCAAAACAACATCAAACTCTCGAAGCAAGGCAGAATTGTCTCTATTAGCAAAAGGTTAACAACACGGCAAGATGCAGTGAAGTTTGGGGGTGAGAAAGTTATTCAAACATCTAAAATGAATTTTAGGGTCATTCCAGAAATGGTTTTTAACCTGATTTAGCATCAGTCCATATTCAGCAATGTTATAACGTCAAAAAATGCAAAATTCATTGTCAGCAAAAATCAGAAATGATTCGTATCCATAATGCCTTTTAATTGTGATATCATCAGAAACTTAATGTACAAATTCACAAAAGCAAAGCTTCGGTTAAAGTAACATACCTTTGAAACAAAGCTGATTCACTGTTGCGGCATCAGACCCTCTGGATGGGAAGACATTGAAAACAAGAAGTAAAATCCCAAACCACATCCTTACAATTCGAAAGATGTTGCAAAGGCTGATCCTCGGAGAATGTCGTCTTATATTCCCTGTCAGATAAAAATCGACAGGAGGAATGGGTGGAAAAGTGTGTATACAGGTCTGTAAAAGGCTTAATGATTAAACGAGGATGTTCTCCTGGTAAACAATCCTGCTGATTTTTACAGGCCTGTCATTACCATGTACCTCGCATTGCCAGTGATATGATATGGAAAGAGAAACCTCAACAAGCAAACTCAACAGAAAAGCCACGCACATTGGAGAGAAATGATTGCAGTTGAGACTGTGGGTTGTTAACTTTACAGTTATCTGCTCAATACCAGCCAAGAGGAGGAATTAAAATGTTTAACAGCTTTGTGAGTGCAGCTTAAAGTAGCACTGCTCTGGAAAGTGAGTCACACTCAGAATTTCTACCTATGGGAAGCAATAGGACCTCCACCATTAAATTGGACAAGGATTTACCCTTAAAAACCACAGCCCAGGTTTCCACAGTGGGTCATAGAGCCATACAGCACGGAAACAGACCCTTCGGTCCAACCAGTCCATACTGACCATAGTTCCAAACTATACTAGTCCCACCTGCCTGCTCTGGGCCCATATCCCTCCAAACCTTTCTTATTCATGTATTTATCCAAATGTCTTTTAAATGTTATAACTGTACCCACAACCATTACTTCCTCTGGAAGTTCATTCCACACACTAACCACTCTCTATGTAAAAAAGTTGCCCCTCAAGTCTTTTTAAATCTTTCTTCTCCCACCTTAAAAATATGAGCCCTAGTCATGAAAGCCACCACTCCAGAGAAAAGACACTTGTCATTCACCTTATCTATACCCCTGATGATTTTATAAACCCCTATAAGGTCACCTCAACCTCCCACGCTCCAGTGAAAAATGTCCCATCCTATCTAGCTTCTCCTTATAACTCAAACTCTCCATTCCTGGCAACATCCTGGTAAATCTCTTCTGAACCCTGTCCAGCTTAATAATATCCTTCCTATAACAGGACGAACAGAACAGGAAACAGTGCTCCAGAAGAGGCCTCACCAATGACCTGTACAACCTCAACATGACGTCCCAACTCCTATACTCAAAGGTCTGAGCAATGAAGGCAAGTATGCTAAGTGCCTTCTTAGCCACCCTGTAGACCTGTGAACCAAATTTCAAAGAAATATGTACCTCAACGCCTAGGTCTCTCTGTTCTACAACACTATTGAGAGCCCTACTTTTCTCTATATGAGTCCTGTCCTTGTTTGTTTTGCCAAAATACAATCTCGCGCATTTATCCAAATTAATCTCCATCTGTCACTCCTCAGCCCATTGACTCGATTGATCAAGATCTCCGTGTAGTCTTAGAAAACCTTCTTCATTGCTCGCTACGCCACCAATTTTGGTGTCATCCGCAAACTTACTAACTGTGCCTCCTATACTCTAATCCAAATCATTTATGTAAACGACAAGCAAAAGTGTGGACCCAACACCAACCCCTGAGGTTGAGCTGCACATCATTGGTGGGAGAGGTGAGGGTGTGGCTGAGAAATTAGTTAGCTCATTTAGCTGGATGGCTGGTTTGCAATGCAGCTATAATGCCAATAGCATAGGTTCAATTCCTATATCAGCTGCGGTTACTGTGAAAGTCTCACCTTCTCAACCTCACCCCTAACCTGTGGCATGGTTACCCTCAGGTTAAACTCACCACCAGTCATGTTTCTGTTAAGAGTGTGTGGTTGGGACTGTGGTGAGCTTACCTTTTATATGAACTTCCAAAACACATGTCACAATATAGACTCGATGTCCGTGGGATGAAAGGGACAACATTGATGCAGATATGAAAATAACTAGGGAACAAAAAGGAGAAAGTAATGGTGAAAAGTTATTTTTACAGACTGCAAGGCATGCAGCATGACCCACAGAGTTAGTGTTCACACACTACTGTTTGATATGTCATGACTGGCATAGTGGCTGGAATTCAAGACCCACTATTGCACAGATTCGAGGTGAACATTAAGATTTCATGGAACTACAGAAAATCCCAACCTGGGAAAACCCCAACTCTAGAGTTTCTTCAATAACAATTTTAGAAAGCTCTATTTTTTGGAACACTCATGACTTTAACAAGAACCGTAAGAGAATGGGATTTTCAATTTATGTGACTTAAATTGTATCAAATTTTAAAACTGCCCCAATACACACACACTCGTACATACACACACACACACAGAGAAACACAGACACACGTACACACATACAGACACACACACAAACACAAGCACACATACAGACACACACAAACAGACATACACACGGATACAGACATAGACATATATACGCACACACAGAGACATAGACACATGTACACACACACACAGACACGCGCACATGCATGCACACACACAGACACACACAGAGACATAGACATACACGCATACGCATGCGCGCAGAAGCACACACACACGCACACAGACACACACACACACACATAGATACACACTGACATACACACACAGTCACAACAAAACAATGCAAATATTATACATTGAGGGAAAAACATAGAGGAAGACAGATCTGTATCACTAGTCTAAAATCACACATTTGGTTCCACAATCTCCAATTCTTTGATCCTGCCTTAATAGCATATGCACAGCAATGATCAGTCTATAGTTCACTGGTTGCTTTGTTAGACTTGGGGTCTTTCTTGTTTTTGAAATAACTTTTTCAGCGTCATTCTAATTTTTCTGTTTGTTTTGACAGAAAATTAGTGGTAGCAACTTTATAGAGAAAGGGGAGAGCTAGAAGACTGATGTAGCTAACTTCACCAGGTCTCCTTGCTTCTTGCTGCCTGATTCACTCCCCTCACTGAGTCAGTGTGAAACTACAACCTGACCAGCTTGTTGCTGTGCTGAGCTCTCCTGAACCCCAAAACGGATGGTACCACTTTGTCTGGACTCAATGTACCCAGAAAGTAACATTGGGCTGAATCATACCTTCTTTTCCTCGGTGCCAGTTGTGTTGAGTTTTTGGAAGGCTTTGAACTGGGGTCTCATGAGATGTCACACTGTATCCTCCCAAACCTGTTCCCTAACTACAAACTCTGCCTGTACGACATCCCTGTTGTCTGATTCTGTCCCCAGCTGAGGGCTACGGCCCCTGCCCACTCTGCAACATGCTCTCTTGGTTGAATGAACAGGCCAAGTGCATTCGTCGCCAAGGCAGGCTGGCACAAGCTGTACATGCTGAATTGGCATCACGGTGTGCCACTGATCAAGACGAGGAAGAGATGCTGTGAGCACGTAGCTAAGCGCTGAGTGAGTGTGCTGTAAGAAACCCAGCAAGTAGCCACGCAAAACAGTCCTGCCACCAGGTACCCGCTCGGACATCCATGCTGTGATCTCCTGACATCCGACTCGTTCAGTACGTTTGGTAAAGTAGAATGCTGAATATTAACAGAGTTCGGCCATTCATAAGGCATTTAACAACCCTAGTTAATAACTTGCTGCTATCCAGTTATAACTCAACTCACTGCAGATACATAAAAGATGCAGCAAGTCGCTCCTGATTTTGAGATAAGGCTTGGCAGACAATATTCTGCCCTAAATCTTGCCACAGCCCATGTGGCTCACATCCCTTTAAGTTTCTGCCCAATCTTCTACTTGCACCAGTGAACATCACTTACTTTTCGCAAAGTTGCAAACAACTCAATATCCTTTCTCTCCTTTCTCAAGGCAGCTTCCGTTTTCCCCAATTTTAGCCAGTAGACCAAAATAAAATAGGGATCCCTATGAATAACCTGAACCTGAGTCTGCAAAACATCAGTCAGAAGTTTGCAACCAGCATGAAACTAGAAATGTGATAGGTGATTAATGGGATGATAAGATTATTAGATGAGAAAGAATGCAGAAAAGATTTACTAGGCTGCTACCTGGACTGGATGGTTTGAGTTATAAGGAGAGGTTCCATAGGCTAGGATTTTTTTTCCCTGGAACATAGGAGACTGAGGGGTAAGCTTATAGAGGTTTGTAAAATCATAAGAAGTATAGATAAGGTAGATAGCCAATAGCTTTTTCCCATGGTAGGGGAGTATAAAGTTAGAGGGTGGATTGGTGGCATGGTGGCTCAGTGGTTCAGTGGTTAGCACTACTGCCTCACAGCACCAGGGACCTGGGTTCAATTCCAGCCTTGGGTGACTGTCTGTGTGGAGTTTGCATGTTCTCCCTGTGTCTGTGTGGGTTTCTTCCCACAGTCCAAAGATGTGCAGGTTAGGTGGATTGGCCATGCTAAATTGCCTGTAGTGTCTAGGGTGGGAAATATAGGGGGATGGGTGGGATGCTCCTCAGAGGGTCAGGGTGGACTCAATGAGCCAAATGGCCTGCTTCCACACTGTAGGGATTCTATGACAATGGTAGATTTGAGGAGAGTTGCAAAAGGGTCCAGAGGGGCAAACTTTTCACACAAAGAGTGGTGAGTGTCTGGAATGGGCTGCCACAGGTAGTGGTGGAAGTGAGTATAATTTCATAATTTATGAAACATTTAGACTGTACATGGATGGGATAGGTATGGAGGGTTATGGACCAAATGCAGGGGACTAGTTTAATCGTGAAAACTAGACGGCATGGGCAGATTGGGCCAAAGAGCCTGTTTCCATGCTGTAGACCTCTAAGAGACTTTGAGCAAAGGTAACGGTTATATTATAATGTGACAACATGGTAATGTAAGGGACAGATGTGGGACCGATGCAATTTAGTGCAGAGACACTTGAATTGATACATTTTTGAGGGAAACATGAGGAGGAACAATATGAATCAAACTCCAAAGGGTATTCAGGAACAGTGACACGCAAGACATATAATTTGAGGTTGGAAGAGCAAGTCAACAAGATACTGAAAAGTGTACATTCTCCTGGGTATTATAAAAGAGACATTGAGTGCAATCAAGGGAGTCGTGCTCAACTTTTATAAGTCACGACCCAGGCTCAGCTGGATTATTGTGTTAGGTGATGGCCAGGGCATTGTAAGACGGAGCATGTGAAGGAGATTCATGAGATTGGTAGAACTGTTTAATGAGAAACTGAGATTG